GTTAGGATAGCCTCTATAGAATATTTCCTTGTTGCACTGTAAAAAACAAACAGCAGTCTCCGAAGAAACTAATACCTCCAAGCTAGTAGATTTTTATAAGTTATAAAATCAAAATCAGTAATAAAGTAAATAGGAGAAGGCGTAGATCTTTAGTAACACAAATTAAAAAAATCACCTTTCTGATGCTTTCACAGTTATGAGATTTAGTACTATGAGAGCATTCTGGTGGATGACCCAGTAAAGCTGCATTAATAATTTGTTGATAAATGTGGGACGTGCAATAATGTAAAGTTACATTCTCTACCAAAATGTTATACAGCTACAGGGGCTGTAAGAATTATATTGAGCAATAATAATATGAACTGAGCTTGTATATCGATATTTCTTATTGAATATTAAACGTTTCGCTAAGAGCGTTTTCACTTACTCGTAGCTAGAGTTAGCTGTAGAGGTTATATATTTATCTGAGTTCGGCATAAGTAGCTATTATTTCCAAGGCAATTATGTTCAGAAGGATCGTTTTACTTACAGATAGGTTGATGAGTATCGGCGTGTGTTGAATAGCTCAATTCAGCTGGAATAATTCATCCATCCAAATTTTATTTATTTCACGATGCAGATAGTAATTTATAGAAAGAAGTACTTATTACTAGCATCTGACATGGTATGTATACTAAATTAAGTATTTGGATAATGTTTCTTTATTATTAGTAGTAATCATATAATATCACATATACAAGTGCAAAAGAAATTAAACTAAACCGCATATTAGTTCAAGTTTGGTAACACCTAGCTAGTTTAGTAACGCAACGCAAGTTTATAACGCGTTTCTATTAATATTTAGTTTTTACTCATTGACACCTCAAAATATTCATCGGCTATAAATAAATGAAAACTTCGGTGTAACTAATATCTGTAATTTTTTTTTCAGATATCTTTTTTCTTAGCTTTTGACAATATAATAAAATATTATAAACCAAGTCGAAAATCTAGGAAAATACAAGCCTATAAGACACGACTCGCTGGACAAGACAAAATTACGGGCGTATTCTGACGTGATGAAATTATAGCGTCTACAGCTTTAAACGTGGTAGCGCCTAACATACCGAGGGTCGTTTATTACAAGATTTTTGTCGTGAGCTCTCTCGCAATCAAATATTACATTTACAGGAGAAGTAATTTTCCTGCAAAAATGCGTTCTAGGAACGTAACATTGATATAAATTCGTGAAATCTTTTACGTTTCTTTATCTATTTTTGGGTTGTGTCAAACCTGAATGATACTTATTTGGATTATGCAGTACGTGAACGCTTAAAACAGTATACACATTTATGTATGGAATACGATTAGAGATCCAAACAACAACATAGAGTACCTTTCTTCCAGAAAAAATACTTACCTATTTCTAAAGCATCGAAAAACTTTTACACGACTGAAGCCGCGGTTAAAAGCTAGTTTTACATAAAACACGATTTACTTCAATATTTACCAATCTAGCTCCATCCGTTAGTAGAAATAGATACTAATGTTAGTTACGACTGGCCACATAAACGAATAAGAGGAAAAAGGACAGCTGCTCCTAATGCAGTACGAGAGAAAGAGAAGAGATTCGTATAATCCACACCGACACAACTCACCGCCAGACTTAGGAAATGAAAGCCAACCGAACCCAAATTCATTAATGTTATCTTGTTTGCCATCCTAACACTTGCAGGAAGGCATGAGAGTAGCAGATAACTAGTACAAAACTATAACAGTATTCTGGTCATTTCTAATTTATAATATTTCCACGTAATTTTGTTAGTTTCTCCTGAATAAAAATTGTATGGAATCTTTTCGTATACCATATCAATCTCCTTTTGTCCATACTGACAACATATACAAAACACAGGTTCTATTTTAAATTAAATATTTTTTTTTTTACTCATGGTTAATATTCATAGAATCGGATTAAATACGTAGATTGAGTCACCAAGTGTCCAATCAGATTTCTTCACTGCTCAGAGTAGCGGCCAAAGCTAATTCCTATTGTGTATTGAAATAATTGACCAGTTGTAATGGTCTAGTCGCAAAATGGAAGGAAACTTATTTACTTCTATGTAAATAATTAAATGGGCAACCTTTAATTCTCTTACATTGTTTTCTGTACCATTTCTTAATAGTTTAAATTTATAGATGCAGTCTTTATGGTCAAGTAAGTTGATACTTCTTATGCTGTACCTTTTTAAAGGTAAAATAATATTATTTAATGGATTACTTAACCTCTAAGCTAACTTAAACATAACTTTTTTATACGAAACAAAAAACAAACAAAACAAACTGTTAAGAAAGCACCACTCAAAATTTGGTTTTAATGTCACTTAGTGGTTAATTAAAGTTTACTTTTATCAATTCAAACAATAGTAATCTGATATTATTTCCTCATTGGTTTGATTAGTGAAGGTTAAATTAATTAAGTTGAAATTATATTGTTATAAAAGAAATGTATAAGGCAAAATTTTGGCACTTTTTAAAAAATCTTAAAAGTCCAATATCTTAAAAATGGTTAGGTTTGGAATATGGTATTACATAGTTAAATCTATCAGCAATAATGGCCACTACTACCTATAGTACGGGAGCTAGCAACGTTTGGAAAGTAAGAATTATTACCTGTCCAGGTAATAATCCTGTATTTTAAAAACATTTTAGAAGGCGTCATTTTTAATTTTTTGTTTTTAAATAAGTCTACCTGACATACTTTTTTTATTGCCAGACATTTTTGACAATTTCTTACTCGAAAACGTTGCTAGCTCCTATACCACTACTAAACTATCTAGATTGACTTACCCTGTAACCCTGTATAAGACATGCTATCAGAGCTAATTCCTTTTTCTGAAATGTAGTTAAATGGAAATTTTGAAATAAGGCTCAACCTTATTGTAATTTAATTCATCATCATCATCATCACATTTTCCAAATTTTTTTTTTGGATTGTGTAACATTGCAAAGAGTTTTGTCTAGTTTCTTTTATAGCTTGCCGGTGGCATGTTATCACCTCTAACGAGTTCATGAGAATGTAAACGTTTTGAGATCTGATAAATAAAAAAAGCGAATGGGTAAAGTAAACGGACAGTGGGAGGTATCCCGGGTAATAGATACCATAAGTCTCGGATAAGAAATCAAGACTGGAAATTTCAATAGGTTGTAGAGACCAAGGTCACGTACTTATTGCCCCTCCTGTTGTTGGAGATACCTCGAGGACAAGGACGGCAACAGGCCTTTGTTTTTCCTTATTTGTGATGTGTGATGTGACGCCTGATCTAAAAAAAGTTAAGTTAAAGCATGTCATGTACATGTTATGTAACCTGCTGCACATAGGAATTTCCATAGAAAGGAAGTTTTGGCCTTCTATACCACGCTGGTCATACCGCGTTGGTATATTGTTTGTTTCAAGTTTTTCTTGTCTTTACAGTGTTGTTATCTTTGGTTATATATTTTTTTATTATATTTACAATTAACATTAAATATTGATTTTTTTAATATAATTTCATCAATACAGTGAGAACTTAATAGGAAAATATTATAAGTACCTTGTGGATAAAAGTGTCCAATGATAAATAAAAACGTATTAAATAAAAAGTTTTATACCAACCAAACATTTTGGTGAACTTCTTTGTTACTTATCCATCGTGCACAGCCGAATGTCACTTGCAAACATTAAATTTTTTACATTTCGTCAAACCATCTCATAAAAATATACCTTATTTTACAATCGATTAGTAGTTAGGGTTTAATCGTGCTACGAAGGAAAACCTGGATTAAGAAATGTTTTGGACAGATTAGCACATAATAATTTATAATGTTTGTCCTTACAAATATAATAAAAAACAATTGCAAATCTCAAAGCGTTGAAATTAATGTATATATATATTTATTTATTTTAAAAGACAACAACAATTTGTGAATCACACAAAGTCGATTCTGTTTCTACAAGGGTAATATCATTAGGTACTACTTAGTACATGAAACTTACCTACTAAGTACAATCGAATTACCGGAGAAATATTTTACATAATCAAAATATTAAATTTAAGACCACCTTTAAAATATATGTTTATAATATTGCAGTGTGTCATTGGCATTAGAAATAAGAATAATATAATTTAAGTTCTACCGTAGTGGCGATTTCATCTCTGTCATGGGCTTGGCGTTTCGACGTGCACGCGGAAATGTAGGTAAGCTTCCATAATATATGGCGGCTTAGCTGTGACATTTTGACATTATACTTTTCTAAGAATAAGTAATGATTTATTATATTTCTGGTGTGGAGGTAAAAATGTATCGCTGCTGCTTTACTGGTAATATTTTATTTTGTTTTGTCAATACATCAGGGTGATGGAAATAACGTAAACATACATTCAAAGCCTTGCTTTCGATTTGTCAACGAGAAATATAATAATTAGGTTAACATTGAGTTTCAAGATTGGTTTACATGTTACAAATAAAGCTAATAAAATTTTATAAAAAAGGTTTCCGGGTTGCACTGAGTTCTTTGACAATATTTCTGAAATATTAAAAACAAAACATACCCAATTGAGGATGAAAATGTAAAACATCGCTTACACCAAAGGTATATAATTGGTATACGCAAACTCAATTTCAATCTGTGAAAGTGTAGTAAGACCGGAGTTTTACATTATAAATATTTTACTCATTTAGATTCATCTCGTTAGAAAACGCAAAGCAGTGTTGAAAGGAAATTTCAATATTTTCAATTTACTCGGCGTGTATGCATAACCCTCAACGGATATAAACTTACTTATCTGGATAATGTTAGATCACATCTACATTTTTCACACACGTTTTATGATTCCACGTAAATTGAAAGGATAGATATGAACTACCATAGTTTGTTTGAGTAAGTTGCATTTGCATTATTTTGGTTGTGTAGAAAGAGCTCGAAGGTCTTAAGCAATCGATACAAACCTCACACAGCAACTTAGCGCAGAAAGACAGTAAAAATGTATACTGAAGCGATGCGCGATGGTATTGTCTCTACAGGATATTTACTCCATGACAGTCCTCATATGACACAAGTGCAGCTTTTTGATATAGTGAGTAATGGAGCGAGTGATTTTAACTTTTCTTCTAGCATATTGTTCAAGTATTTTTCCTCCCCTAAGAGCTTCCATTCTTAAAAGTTTATGCATGAGTGTGTCTAGATATAATGCTGATATTGCTAACGCTGAGTATTTATCCCCAACATATTCTTACGAATTTCTTAAAACCAAAGTCGTCGTTTTCGTCGATTTTTTTACCATCGACGAAAGCTCTAACAAACTAAACGATGAGGTGTATACTCACAGCAGTGAAGAAGCGAGCGCACATATTCTGAGCATCCAGCGAGGGTATTATCCTTCGTCTTTTATGGTTTGGCTTGGCGTTTTTTTTGGTGTTTTTCTGTGGAAAAGGTGTAAAAGAAGTGTCGTAGTCTACCAAAATACCTCCCTAATGAACATAGTGGAACCTCTTTCTCAAATAATGTTCAATAACAGACATTGACAATTTCAACAGGACTCTGCACCAGCTCATGAAACACGACGCACACAAAACTCGGGTGGTCAAATATCTACTATGACTACAACAGTTCAGAAGGTTCATGGTGTCACCTGTCACATGTCATGTCCATACAAGTATGATAAATAACCATAGTAATTAATATATTATTGAGCGACATCGTCAGCATTGTTGGATCATGCATGTGTAGTGTTTTCAAATAGTCTTAATACTGCAATACTCCCAGCTGTTGTTTGATATCAGAGATTGTTATAATTAGAAATAAAAACAAAATTTAAAAACAGAGATCTCCTTTATTTTGAAATTCTTATTTTAAGGTAACAGTTACGTACATAAGGTTCGTCAAAGCGAAACATTACTATCATCTTAAAAGTCCTAAATACAAGTCTAAATATGTACAAGTATAAAATTCACTACGTCCAACTTACGTTGTTGATAAAATAACTTTACCTGCATCATTTTCATGTTATTTTTAAATCACTAAAGTCTAACACTGATTTTAGATGAGAAAGTGACAAGTTCATATTTTCTTAGTCTTTTGATCATCGGACAGTCCTGAAAAAAATAATAGAGAAAATAAGATAAAATTTATATTACAATGCTGTACGTATAATACTGCCGCATGGTATTCCAGAATTAATTATAGACACCGAGCATTCCTTCATTGTTTTTAAATAAATAAGCAGCATTTAATGATACAAGTAATTTTCTAAGCATTCTATTTTTAGAGTACCCCAAAAGGATAAAATACGTTTTTATAAGTAGTTTTGGTCACTTTATCCGTCTTTCGGATGTTTTGAAAGGCTTTGTTCAGACTCGGAACGTAATAGTATTTAATGTTACCTCATTAGTTGATAATGCCATTAAATATTATTTAGTTCTACTGTTCTTTGAAACTCTAAAAAGCTAGCTTTTAAGATATGGCTATTCCAATCTTATTTATTAAATAAAAACCTAGAAGGTGCAACTAACATAAAATTTTAAACTTAGCTAATAAAAGGCCTCATAGCACAAGAAAAAACCTCAAAGGTCGCTAGTCCGTGTGTCCATCAAAAATGTGATTTTGAATTAATACTTTGCGGTTTGAAAATTGACTGTTATGTACACCGATAAATGGGAGAGTATTTTAGGATCTGTAAAGTCAAGTTTATCCTTCCCAAAAGGTAAAAACACCTATAACAAAGTTAACGAATTAGTTACATCACAATTAAACAAAACGTTTAGTCCTGACTTTTGTACATGAAATAATTAAAACTTTTTGTTAAAGTCAAAACAAGTGGAAGCGGTAACTTTTCTTAATTCAGGATAGTTTTTTAGCAACGTGAAAGTTTTCGGTAGAGGCTATTCAGGAAAGACTACAATGAAGAAAGGGCCAGGGGCTTTATAGGGTATTTCTCTGTATCGGTCGATTTAATCTGTTACAGTGTTACAGGCCTATAGATGGAAATGGCGTCAAAAAGGCTTAAAAAATAACCACGTTTATTTCTGAGGAGCATAAAGGTTAAGAAATTTTAAAACGTGGTCATTTATGAGCCGTCAAGAAACGTAGCTCACTTTTATTATCTCGGGTTAAAATATCAAATCACTACGAGATACAGATATATATATATATATATACAGGGTGTCCTAGAAAGAATGGATAATCCTGGAGCGCTAAATAGTACAGCTATCTGGCGTACAAAAAAAAAATACCCAAAAAAAAAACATATGGTGCCAAAATTATGAAGTTTTAAAAAAAATATACTTTTTTGTTGTCCTTACTGTACTTACATTTACACCACGGCCGCAAATTATTGAAATTTGTTGCGTTTTTGGCGTTATCTTATTCCTCACAGACAATCTTATTAGAAATGCAGTAAATAGTATGAGTAATGAAAAAAAAACTTGTTTTAGAATAGATTGAGTAACTCAATACGACGCAATAGACACCTGGTGGGTTTATGCAGTGTAGGATTTTACGAAAATGTTTTTAAAGATTTACAAGTTCTTTCAGCTGACAGATGACTACGTTAGCAATTAAGGTAGTGAGTGTTGTAGGTTTGAAACCTAAATGTAATTGGAACAGTAGAAACGTTTGATGTGCCAAAAAATCCTTTAATAAAAAAAGTGGCTTGAATATGTTCAATTTCATCTAGAAATATGACTACGGTCAAACTACGATCCCATATATTTTCATTCCATTTCCAATTACTCCCCGCATCGACAGCCGTGATTGGGTGAGATACATATAAAACAGATTATTGCAAATTACAATCGGAATTGTGAATAAAACCGAATAAGTTATGACCAGATAAAAATGTTGAAAAGATATAATGCCCCGTAACGTATTTTATCCGCGCACCAAACAAAACCTCAGATGTGTATACGTTAAAAATACACAGGGCTGATGTGTTCAATTATAAATGTCGATTTCTGCTATAGCAGTTATTTAAATTAGTAATAAATTTTCAATCATATATTACTAGGTTAAAATGCATGTAAGTGATTTTTTATATAAAAAAATGTAAGACTCAACATGATGACATTGGCGATGATGTGTGATTTATATATATATAAATCACGCCTTTGCCTCACTTTTAATTGCTATTTTATCTAATTCAAAAATCAATCCAGAATTTACGCGATTGCTAAATTTAAAGGTAAAGGACAGTATGACACTAAGATCAGAATTTGAAGCTTTGTGGGATATCACACGTCTTCTTACTAAACAATGAAATATTTAAGTACTCTTAGCTATTTAAGCTATCCTGATTTCACCTTAGCTTGTAAAAATAAAATGGAGATTTCTTTTCCTTTAAGAAACACCTACAATGCTTTATATTTTTCAATTCTATAACTTCACAAATTAGCTAAATTATCAATTAATAACTCGACCAAACTAACACAAATTGGTTTAAAAAAAAGTCATAACACATCTCCACATTTTGAAATAGGTACGTGCTATCCCAACGCTTTGTGTTTTCGGGCATTACAGATAATTCCGGACCATTCAATATTTGTAAGGTTCCATAAAAGGTGTTGTGCCTTGTAAATATTAATAAGGTTCGATGAAGGTATCGCACTTTAGAAGCATTAGCACAACGCCGTTTATATCGATTTGGTTTGAACTTGCTTCCTATTGGTTTGCTCATCTGTAAGGTTAGCAGGTAACAGTTTTTTTGTTACATGTTATAACTCATTTCCTGTCTAGATCAGATACAGACCAACCAATTTTAGTAACAAGACTGGATACTGCATACTTTATTAAGCCAGAATGTGTGTTATCATTTAAATTGTGGGCTGTGGCCTATGCAACAGCCCACAATTTAAAGCAAGTTTCAGCCGCATGCATTAAAGTTTACAATGAGCTATAAACATTTGATTCCAGATTCCACAATTAAGTAAACAGATATGTTAAATTTCAGTGCTAAGAAAATACTGAGTCAATTAATGTTTTTCCTTGACCTATATCACATAAGAAGCTGTAAAATGCAATTGAACATAAATATGTTTTGTATGTTTATTGTAGAATCCGGAATCAAAATTTATTGGTCATTGAAAACTATAAAACGCAAACGAATATCCTACTGTTTACTACTTTGTGTGTGGGAACACGACGATATACTACTTACTCATTATGGACATCCCTAGATATAACATAAAATTACACCTCTATGTATAGGAAGATAACGTTTTTCATCTTACCAATGCCTGTATAACAAACAGTTGAGCACCGCCAACATGCCTACGTGTGAAGTAGAACGAAGGCCTGAAACAATAACAAAATGTTATTAGCTGTAGTTTGTAATTAAAGTAATTAACGCCGTAATGTCAACATAAATTCGAGAATGCGGCATTACTAAGAAAATGTCTTCGCTTCTAGCTGGTTATGGTTGAATAAACATTTATTCCTTTAATTCGCGTCATTGTAAATAGCGCTCAACTTATATTAATTAATATCAGGGTAATTTATATATTTCATTTGAAGTGACTAATAAGTACTTAATAACTTCACCAATTAATATTCCTAAATAGAATTGGCGTCAGAGAGACGATATACCATTAAGAAAAGCAGCTAAAACTAAGGAAGAGCTAATAGAATGTAATGGAAAATATATATTACCAAGTGTACATATGGTCTTATAATTATAACAATTTGTATCAACTGACTAGCCTTTTCTAGGCATTGCAAATTTGAAAGAAAAATTATATAAAATAAACATAAGTTATTAAATATAAGAATTATACAATTGAATTAAGAATAAAGTAGGTACAATAATTGAACGATTTGGTAAGTAGTTGATGTATATCAGAAATACCACATTAATGTGGAGACAATAATTATTTGATTATATTAAAAAAATATTACACACACTAACTTAACTACAAAGGAATTCTCTTCCGGTATTTAGAATAAGATTTGTAACAGTAAACTAACAGTAAAGTCTAACAAATCTGTTTTACTTTTTATATGTAAGTATATCTGTAACCAATAAATTTATAGCAAGAAGATTTCCCATCGTGTGTCGTGTGATAGTCCAAAACGGTTACATGTATTTGAATACTAACTTCCATCCAAATTTGGTTAAAATTATGTAAGTACTATGACTGTCCTATGCCCAATGTATCACTAACTGTATAGAGTAAGATACCGAGTCCACTACCACCGGGTAGTGGACTCGGTATCTTACTCTCTCAAGATACCGATCTTACTAAGCTTTCTGAAAAAGGTACACCTTTCAAGTGCACCTGGTAACACCAGACATTTCCCCACCACCCAAAGGTATAGGTCATTATACAATTGTAATTTGTGCATAAAGTATTAAATAAAATAAATGACAATAACATAAAATAAGAATGCATGCAATGCATAAAAAAAGAAATGCGTAATATTTACGTATGCCTCTCCGTGTGCTAAAACCCATACACAGGCTAGATCAAAGCTCCGTTCCATCTTCAAGACCTTTATCAGTTATATGCAATCTACAAGGGAAAAAAAATAGAGCAGAAAGTTCGAAGGACACAACAATGTGGATAAAACATGAAGTTTTTTCAATAAGTTTTCATTGTTAACGATATTTTAACGTCAAGTACACATTGATAACATAAAATAAGTACAAATCGTAGCACAAATTTGTATGATTTTAATT